ATGCATGCTCCTGATTATGGATCTACAGTGTGTTTCAATTGCTCTGCTTCTCTTTCCTTCTGGACCAACGCCTGTGTCAATGTCTTTGATGCTACATGTCAAATAGGCAGAGTATATTCTGCATAGCTGGACAGCTATATAAGACAATTACCTTAGTCCTAGGTTCAATCCTGGTCGAGCCATAGCTCAGTAGACAGTTTATTGGTCCCTTGGCAATGGCGTAAATATCGGTAAGCAGAGAGTACCGTTGCTTATTGGCCCACAACCTCTTAGGGGCCCCATCACTGACATCTGGTAGGCTGCTTATGTAATATATATATATTCATACTACCATCTCTGAACTACAGACCCAACATTCTAATGCCCTCATTATCATGATGGGAGACTTTAACCATGTCACCATGAACAAAGTCCTGCCGACCTTCAAACAATATGTGAGCTGCCCTACCAGAGATGAGAGGACCTTGGACCTGATGTATGCTAACATTAAAGATGCATACATCTCTTTTTCTCTCCCCTGTCTGGGCAGGTCAGATCACAACCTGGTTCATCTCAAACCCTGTCATTTACCTCCGGTGAAGAGGAAGCCTATGACCACAAGAACTGTGAGGATGTGGTCGGAGGAGACTTGTTAGGCACTGCAGGCCTGCTTTGAGGTGACTGAATGGCCTGCACTCTGTGAGCTCTACAGGAAAGACATTGATGGGCTCACAGAGTGCATGACGGACTATATCAACTTCTGTGTGGACTGCAGTGTTCCAGCTCGGACTGTCACCTGTTACACTAATAATAAATCATGGATCACCAAGGACATAAAGGCTATCCTGAATGAGAAGAAGAGGGTGTTCAGAAATGGCAACTGTGAGGAGGTGAGGAGAGTGCAGGGGGTACTCAAACATAAAATCAAGGAGGCTAAAGACAAATACAGGGGAAAGCTGGAGAATAAACTCCAGACCAACAACATGAGGGATGTGTGGAGTGGGATGAGAGCTATCACAGGATTCCAGACGTCCACTGGTGTGGGGTTGGAAGGGTGCGTAGACCGGACCAATGAAGTGAACTTATTTTTCAATAGGTTTGATATTGCGGCCCATCCCCCACAACCCTCTACTGCTGGCTTCCCTACAACAACCACTCAACCTTCCCCCACTCCTCCTCCATACAGACCCCCTGTCTGCTCTTCACCACCTCAATCCACATCCACCGACTCCACCCCTCCCCCCTGCTTCACATCATGTCCTCCACAACATGAGGACCTCCCACCTCCCCCTACTGTTACCTCTACAGTGTCCTTCACTCCTGACCTGGTGAGAAGACAGTTAACCAGACTCCACTCCAGAAAGCTGCAGGCCCCAATAGTGTATTCCCCAGGGTGCTCAAAGCTTGTTCCTATCAGCTATGTGGAATACTTAGCCTAGTCTTCAGTCTGAGCATGCTCCTCCAGAGAGTCCCCATGCTGTGGAAGACATCCTGTCTCGTTCCTGTGCCAAAGACGCTGCGCCCTAGCGACCCTCAGGACTACAGACCGGAAGCACTGACCTTCCATATCATGAAGACCTTCGAGAGGCTAGTCCTGAAGTAGCTAAGGCCCATGGTCAGGCCCTTCACTCATCCACTACAGTTCACCTACCAGCCCCGCCTGGGAGTTGAGGACAGCATCGTCTTCCTGCTGAACAGAGTCTACAATCATCTGGACAAGCCAGCAAGCACAGTGAGAATCATGTTCTTTGATTTCTCTAGTGCCTTCAACACCATCCGCCCGGCTCTACAAGGTGAGAAGATGACTGCGATGCAGGTGGAGGCCCCCATCGTGTCCTGGATTGTTGTTTACCTGACGAGCAGACCACAGCATGTATGCCTACGGAACTGTGTGTCTGACAGGGTGGTCAGCAACACTTGGGCCCCTCAGGGGACTGTCCTCTCCCCCTTCCTCTTCACCCTTTTCACCTCAGACTTCAACTATTGCTCTGAGTCCTGCCACCTTCAGAAGTTTTCTAATGACTCAGCAATTGTTGGCTGCATTGAAAAGGGTGAGGAGAGTGAATACAGGACTGTGGTGGGCAACTTTGTCACTTAATATAACATAAGTATAAGTACCTGGGAGTGTACTTTAACAATAAGTTGGACTGGACTAGAAACACTGAGGCAGTCTACAAAAAGGGCTAAAGCCGACTATTCTTCCTGAGGAGGCTGAAGTCCTTTAACATCTGTGGGGCGTTGCTGAGGATGTTTTATGAGTCAGTTGTTGCTAGCACGCTCTTCTTTGCTATCACATGCTGGGGCAGTGGGCTGAGGGTCGCTGACAACAACATACTGAACAAACTGATCAGGAGGGCCGGTGATGTTGTCGGGGAGCAGCTGGACACTCCGACGACCGTGGCAGAGAGGAGGATGCTGTCCATGTTTCAGTCCATCTTAGACAATGACGCACATCCTCTCCATGACACACTGGTCCAGCAGACGAGGTCCTTCAGCAAAAGACTTCCCTGACCCAGATGCACCACAGAGCGCCACAGGAAATCATTTTCGCCTGTGGTCATCAATTTCTATAACGCCTCCCTAAAGTGATTCAGACACCCCCCCCCCCTCTGTAATTGACATTTATCCAGTATTTTTGCACGTCACTATCACTTTACTTGGATTTAGTTATACATATGCATATATATATATGTATGTATATATATATATATATATATATATATACATACATATATATATACTTTTAATCACTATGTTAATAACTGTGTATAGTTCATGAGGCGGTTGGTAAAAAATATGGATGGAATGGATGGATGGATGGACTACAACTTGGAATTATGGGTATCCCAGAGCGTAGATTAAAACCGTAACCGTTACGTACAATGTGCTAGCGACAATGGATACCAAAAAGAGCTATTTAAGCGGATTCCAGAAAAGAAAAAGGACCCGATATGTAGATAACCAACACGATTCGTCAGTGTTGTTTTAGGATTAAGAGATTTATTTTTGTGTATTTTCATAGGGAATATTAAAAGAAAGCCATCAATATTAAATGTATTTTAAATTGTTTTTGACCACTTCTTAAAAAATTTGTTTGTCTTTTTAACTTGGGATGTCTGCAACACGTGGTGGTGCGCTGTTTTTCCGGGTGTGATGGGTATCATATACTACTGAGAATTGCATAATTGTATCTTATTGGCCGAGTGATGGAACTGTCGCCGTACCCTGAACCTTTATCACGTGTTGTACTTCATATAGGGCCCACCCAGATAATGTTGCTAATGGGCCTATTTTTGTGTCATTACGCCATTATCCCTTGGGGAAATGTCCAATGGTAATATACAATCGATTCTAGCAGGTATATATAGGAAAATAAAAAAGCAGCTTGATTCTTCTTTACTTTCCAAAGAATGTAATAAAATGTAAACTGAATTG